GATCGCAGGCTTGGACGGTACCGCTGCCTACCTGGATGATCTGTTGATCACCGGCCGGAACCAGGAGGAGCATGACGACAGGGTACGTCAGTTGTTTGAGCGAATCGAAAAGTTCGGATTGCGCGTCAAAATGGAAAAGTGCACGTTCGGCCAGGCTTCGGTAAAGTATCTTGGCTTCATTCTCGATGCCCAAGGCCGAAGACCCGATGGCGAACGCACGGCTGCGATAGCAAATATGCCACGACCTACCTGCCTCAAAGAAGTAGAAAGCTTTTTGGGCATGGTTTCGTTCTACCAGTCTTTTATTCCTCGTATGCGACAGTTGCGCGCCCCGCTTGACGAGTTGAAGAGAAAAGACGCAAAGTTTCTCTGGCGTGAGGACTGTGAAAGAGCGTTCCAGTCGCTCAAGGAAATTGTAATTTCCGATTTGTTACTCTGTCACTATGACGCCAAGTTGCCGATCGTCGTCGCCGCTGATGCCAGTGAGCAAGGCCTTGGGGCAGTCATTACCCACCGATTCGCTGATGGAACTGAAAAAGCAATCGCACATGCTAGCAGAGCATTGACTGTGGCAGAGAAGAACTATAGCCAGATTGAAAAAGAAGGCTTAGCCCTCGTATTCGCAATTCGGCGCTTCCACAGATACATCTACGGAAGGCGTTTTGTATTACTGACGGATCATAAGCCCCTTTTACCGATATACGGGTCGAAAAAAGGAATCCCACAACACACCGCAAACCGTTTGCAAAGGTGGTGTTTGCAATTGAACAACTACGATTTTTCGATTGAATATCGTAACACGACCAAGTTTGGTCAAGCGGATGCCCTTTCCCGTCTGATTCCGCCAAAATCGGATCCTGAAGAAGATGTCGTGATTTCGCAGATAGAAATCGACATTTCGGCCGTTTTTGAGGATAAATTGAGCCAAATACCAGTTTCACACAAGGAAATTGCTGAGCAAACTGAACAGGATTATTCACTCAGCGATGTGATTGACTCTCTGAAAAGTGGTTCTTTTCCAGACTGTTTGCCAGGCTCGTCGTTGTACGCCTACAAAAGTCTTGTTAATAACTTGTCAATTCACCGAGGCTGTTTGTTTCTGAAAGAGCGAGTTGTTGTGCCGAAAAGGCTGCAATCGCGGATCCTGAAAATGCTTCACGAAGGCCACCCGGGCCAAACGAGAATGAAATTGCTCGCAAAGCAATATGTGTACTGGATTGGCATGGATTCAGACATCGATCGCATCGTGAAAGAATGCGAAGGCTGTCAGAAAGCCCAGAAGATGCCTGTAAAAAGTGAATTGACTCCCTGGCCTACCCCAAATCGTCCAATGGAGCGCGTGCATATTGATTATGCCGGTCCGATTGATCAAAAAATGTATTTGATCGTTGTCGACGCTTACTCAAGATGGCCTGAAATCTTTGAGTGTAAGGTGGCAACAAGCCGAGTGACGATTGCCCAGTTGAGAGATGTTTTCTCGAGGTTCGGAGATCCGGAAACGCTCGTTTCGGATAACGGAACTCAATTCACTTCGAAGGAGTTTGAAGATTTCTGTAAGGAACGTGGAATTACCCATATTCGCACGCCGCCGTTCCATCCCCAGTCGAACGGATTGGCTGAACGTTTCGTCGATACCTTCAAGCGCGCTTTGAGCAAAGCCGCTGGTTCGACTAACGCTGAAACTTTGCAAATATTTCTGCGAACTTATCGGTCCACCCCTTGCCCATCTTCACCAGAACAGCTATCTCCGGCTGAAAGGTTTATCGGGAGAAAGCTCGTTACTCCCATTGCTCGCTTGCGTCTGCCTCAGAGCAACAGCAATTCTTGTGCGAATCTCATCTTTCCGAAGGGGGAGAAGATGAAGATGGTTGAACAGTACAACCGGAAGCACGGCGCAAAGAAGCGTTCCTACGAAATCGACCAGACTGTCTGGGTTCGAGATTATAAAATACCTAGCAAACCTGTCTGGGTAGAAGGACGTATTTCTAAATTATGTGGAAAGTCCATGTACGAGGTTGAAACTACCTCTGGAGTCGTTTGGCGTCGACATGCCAACCAGATACGCGCTCGATTCGTTCGAGACGTACTCGATGATATCCTGGAAGAGTTCGATCTTGCCAGCGATGGGAAAGTCAATGTGCAGGACACTGCTCCACCTCTTGACAAGCCGCTCGAGAAGTCAGCCGCATCATCCGCCACAACTCCTACATTGATTCCCCTTGCACCTGTTCCGAATGTTCCCCATCCCACTGCTCACCGGCCGACAACACCAACCAAGTCGCCACCGAAGTCGCACCCACGATCACCGGCAAGATCACCAGCCGTGCCGCGACGACCTCAAGTTGACCAGCCCGAAGTCGCTGCGCAACACCCTCAAATTGACCAACTCGATGACGTTGTTCAACACCCGCCAGGACGCGACGAAGAACCTGAACTTCGTCAACAAGACCAAGCACAACCTGTGAAGAAGACAAAGAAGACCGACGCCCTTGGACCGATTCTTCACCACAAGCGCATCCGGAAGCCGCCGTCGCGATATCAAGATTGAAGTGCCCGGCAACGTCGTCTCCATCAAGCTCAACTTCATCTTCAAGTCAAGCTCTTCTTTCAAGGAGGAAGATGTTGCGGAAGCAAGAAAAGAAGTCTTTTGATTCAATTACGCGATGCCACTACGGCGCACCCCTTTGCACCGCGCCCTGTGTGCGCTCCCCACTCCCCCCGGGATAACCCTTTTTTGTGCGTGTCTTTTTCATTCCTTCCACACCGCCCGTCTTGTCTCGCGGCTTGTGTTATTTTAGGCTATTGCCGTTATCTAGATAAATACTTTGTCCCTCTTCTTTCGTCATATCAATTCAGGTGTCAAACGGCTCTCACGCAAGGTATCCCTTGGTTCGAGCCAGCACTCAAGAACTCACGCACAGCCACACCTACAACATCGAGTTTCGAACGCGGATTTTGCGCAATTCGCAGGAAAAATATTTTTCGGAGCAGTTTCTGCCGATTTTGAACATAAAAGTAATATTATTCGCCATTTCAACGATATTTCCATACATTAAAACAACGCCTCGTAGAGATGCGTGACCTCTCTATTTGCTAAACATTACGGAGGCGAAATTTCATTAAAATTCCAGTAAAAACGGCAAATTAACCATAATTTGGTCCTAACTTAATTTATCTAAATCCTGCTTCTATATCCTTTTTTTATCTGAATATATTTTGCTTTGAAAATCCGGCTACATAGAGTTTTTATAGGCCCGCATGGCTGGTTGTTTCCCTGATTGGACACAAGACGGCCAAATGCAGAACAGCGGTTTTTAATAAAACACCCTATATATTCATCGAAAAAGGCAGACCTCGTTTTTTTTGGCCTTCTTCTTTCGACAGGGCAAAGTGGGCATCGTGTCGATCGAAGGTCTGGGATCGGGGATGGCTGAAAAACATGGCTTTTCAATGTTGAAAACGGGCGACACACCCGTGTAATAGGATTGACACGGTTTCCAGTCGAACAATAGTCGAATGATTGGGGAATCCAGGGGGGAAATTGGGGCACGAATGGGACAGCCGAAACCAAGGTATACGCTGGATTTTTTATCTGTATTTATAAATTAATATAAACGCCTCCGATCTATAACAGTTAACGGTGTAATTCGCACTAAAAAAGGTTGCCAATTGTGAGACCTGAATCGACTTTTAAAGTGATTATTAAGCGTCATGAGTTTCAAAGGTTCAAATGTTTTATAGGTTATTTACCGTCTTTCACCCACAATTTATTTATTTACCCAGAGAAACATGGTATAAACGGATCCTAATACGTCCCACAAATAGAGAAGCGTAAATAGGAATTTACCCAAAAGAACCCAGCTCCCGACTGCCCAAAATTCAAAAAAATTCTTTTTTTTTTTCTAAACGGAGCCTGATTGGGCAATTACACCGTAGCCACACAGGGGCGGAAAGCCCAATTTCTTTGTACCCCAAAAAATGCCAACGCCCAGAAAACCAGAAAAACTACAGAAAAATCAACGTACTTCCAGCAAAGCGGGAAACCGAATTTTGAAAGTGAAAATGTGACGAATCGATGTGTTGGTGGGTGTCGCGAACCGTCCGAGATCGCTCGCGCTTTTTTTCTGGTGGTGGGGGGGGATGGGGCTAGTGGGAAGAAACGCCGCGGCCCACAGCCGATTCTCATCAATTTTTGCGAATTTTTGAGTGGCCGCCAGAGGGAGGTGGAAACGGGAGGGACTTGCTTCCCCAATGTTTGTTTACTTCGTTTTCTGGATTGGAAAAAACTGGTTGCGGGGGTGCAGGCTGAACAGTTTACAGTCTACAGTTTACAGTTTAATTTTTAGCATTTTTAAACTTTAAAAATCGAAAATTCCTTGAGGACTTTCAGCTATATAGCCTCGCTCTTTTTTATCGAACCTTCCATCGCCCTTGAACAACTCCAAACGATTTTCCCACCGCCGTCTCTACCCCAGACTTTTCTCCAAGCTGTTATAATTATCAACAAACTATAAACAACTCTTTATTACTTCAACTTTGGCATCTACCTCAATTATTGCAATTAATTCCTGAAACACATCGGGGAATGGCAGAACTTTGGAATGATAGCGATTAAAATACAATAAACAGAATCTATATAAAACTCTGCTTCCGGGAACGACTCCACCGGAACAGCGTGAACCCATCGATACCACCGAAGAAGTAGCCGGTGAGTATTTGCACGAGTATACAATAGCATAATCCAATCTTAATCACCTTTACAATATCCATCGTCAACGATACCTGTAAAAACCGCAGAAATGTCAGATGATATATCCAAATCACAGAAACACTAATGAAAATAGCCGCGGAAGCTATTTTTGTCAATCGTTTCCGCCAGCTTTCTCTTCTCTATAATGATTTAAGGAAGAAACCAAAAATGACAAACACTATTCCAAACGGCTCCTCCTTCGAAGCTTCGCTGAGATTTGCGAGGTTCCGAATAATAACGACGTAATCTATTCTCTTTTTCCATCCACAGTCTGAATCAGAAAAAGATTAAGAAGGTCGACGAATTTTGAAAGTACTTTGTCAACCAGGCACCCGCACCCGCTTCTGTTCTCGGGAATGTCTGAGATCGGAATTTTCTGGATGTGGAAGTGGACCTAAAACTGGATATCTCACGATAAGGACAACTTTTCAAACCTCTTTTGGCGCATCCCCTTTTCCAATCAAATGAACCTCAGTTTGTACTGTATTGTATGGATAAGCGATGGTGATATCGTAGATGTAGGTAATATAATCTTCTAAAATTCGGTAAATAATATGTCGCTTAAAACAAATACCTTGTCGCATTTTGTTCAATAAATGATAAAAACCAGCAATTCGCGGATAGAGCAGATATTCTAATTGACTGAAAAAGGTTATATTTCTATTCGATCGGAGGGTACATACGCTAATCCATTTTTCTTCGCATAAGAATTGCTCTTGGCTGTTGTCCAATCAGTTTTATCGGTTCCTTCGGGGAATAGGAGGATCTGTAAGGGGATTAGTATTCGTTTAATGTTAGTCTTTTCCGACCTGATAGCTATTCCCGCTATCTGCATAATATTCAATCGCGTTTTCGACACTTTGCCGATCCTTCTCAATATTTCGCTCCAAAAATACGAATTGATTTGCGGCCATACCAAAGCCTGAAGGATATATTGAAATTTAGGTTTTCAGGTCTTGAAATTACCGGCTCCAGGCAAATATTTTAGTTCCTTTTTCATGGAAATTTTATTGGAAGTGATGAGCCATGGATTCATTTGATACAGGGCTGACCAAATATACATCCAATCAAGTCTAAAAGAAGATTTTATTTGAAATGAGGGCTGAACGATCCTTAACTATGTGAGTTTGCTTTAAATAATTCTTTAAACGGCCAGGGTATAGAATTAACCTTGTCCGATGATTCATAACAATCATAGCAGGCTTGTCAAGCTCAATCTCATCACCGGAAACGCGTATCGTGACGCCGAAGAGGAATTCGAGGAAGCACTATACTGAATGAACATTATTTTCTTAGACTTTCGCTGCATAGCCAACACTAATCTACAAATCACCAAAAGTTGCCCTACCATTGGGATGGTCATCCAAAAAGAGACGGCTCGATCCATGTTATGCCTCCATAAATGATCAGCACCAAGTAGAAGGAGAGGAAAGAATAGGCAAATTATATAATTTCCAAAGGAAGCTGTTAATAGGACCATAATTCCGAATAGCCAGCCTCGTAATGGATAAAGTAATCGCATCTGTAAATCAGGCAATAGATTATACCTTATGATTTTCATTAACGCGAGAGAATACCATAGAAGAAAAGCACATTTTAAAAATAAATAAAATAAATTATGAAGAAAAATTCTTTAATAAACTATAAATACTACATTTCCTAACGACAATCCGTGGTGATTTGACCTCGAAAAGATGCAGGTGGATGACCTTAGCTGATGGCTTTGGGGGGAATCGATGGGGAGAATGAAGGTGAAGGAGAAAGTTGAAGAGGGGAGCGAGTGTTTGAGCCTTCAGGCCTGCTAGGGGAGGAAGAAGAGGAGCTCGAGGATTTGGGTAGGGATCCGTCGGAGAGACTCCTCTAAACGGAACCCGTCTAGTGTGGCGTCCCGTATCCTGCTCCTAGAAAAACCCGGAAATATCGCCTGTCCGGTCCATCGGCACTCGTTGCTTTTGGTGATGATGGGGGGGGTATGGCGTAGTGTATCGTACTGAAATTAAAAATGTTACTTGTTGAAAGGGACTACAGAAGCAGGGGGTTAAAACGATAATAGGTTAATGGCAACTTCACTTTAAGCCAAGAACTTGAATGGTATTAATTATTGTGGGTGAAGGTCGCGCCGTACTGTATGCTAAAATGCACCTATTGTGGGCCAATAAATCCGGATATGGCCTTGGGAGGTGGCGCCTTCGTAGGCCAATCCCCGGTAACAGCCACCGATTGGTCTTTGCTAAAAGGTGTCCACTTTTTTATGCATATTTTCTGGCGCGCCAGTGTTGTTTATTTCAGCAAAATTATTGATTTAATATATAAAAAATTTCGAATTAAATATTACATAAGATATTTTTCAGTTTTTATATACTCAAACCAAAGTGAACTTATATTTTTTAACATGCAATTCTTCGGCTTCTTATTCAAATTAAAATCTTCCGTTAAGAAATTCTAGGATATTTTATCCAGTTAATGCACCCATTTCCTCCAATTTTTCCAAATTTTCACATTTTCCACAACTTTACAATCAACGATTACATCGGCTAATGCGAAAGTTATGCGGCCGGCTGTTTTGGGGTGTAGAGGGGAGTGATCGGGTAGAGGCACTTGCCCACCTCTCACCCCTCTCTCTTCAATCGCCCTTGTTCACTCCCTATCTCTACCTCTCTATCTCCTTCTCTCCCTCTCAATTGTGCCTAATCTCTCCGCCGATCGGCTGATGTCTTGCTCCTTCCTCTGATCGGCACCCTCCTTCAGGCAGCGGCTGTCCCGGCTGTCCACAAGAACAACCACATAACCTTGCAAAATCTACCAACAGTTTCTAATGATGCTAGAAGCTTTTGGAGTTCATGAAATCGATATTGCTAATCTTATCGCCTGATTTTCAAGGCTATGGTTGCTCTTACTTGGGTAAAGTTTCTAAATTATCACGAATATGTGTTGGTTTTGGATAATAATATTGTTAGAACAACGTTTTCGCTATAGCGAATTTTTTATGAATGTTCCCAGTTTTTTTCAAGCTCATTATCGCTCGATTTTCGAGATTTTTTGAGACTTTCGAGAGCTTATCTCCATGGCCAAGATTCCTATTTCTTTTAAGCTTTGTGAAATCGTGGGACAATAATAATTTTGTGATGTCATTTCTGCGATGGCTAACGCGCCTTCACCGATTTTCACATTTTCCCCAATTCTCGACATTTCTGGCATGGTTCCCCTCGTATTTGAGTCACCAGGGAATACACGCCCAGAAATATTGTTCAAAGATGAGTCATCAGTTCACCATTCACTTCTCTATTTTAACAATTTATGTTTGTAATACCACTAAATTTCAAATCTATGTCTTAGTAATGTTCTACTATTCATCGCTAAAATTTTGACCAGTGTCTTCTGAATCGAGCAGATGCTATTAATTAGTTTACCATTTTGCATAATCTTCTTTGGAATGAATTTTCAGGTTTAATTTGTAGTTTAAAGGCGGCAGATCAGGATTTAAATTGTAGAGATCAAGAGAAAAAAGTAAAATTTACGTTGTCGAGAAGGCCGGCTATTCCTGTCACTATCCCTTTAAATCCGCCAATCGACGTCTTCAAGACAACGATCTGCCTCTTACAAGGCTAAAATTAGCAAATAACTGTACAACCCGGAGAGATGTGGGTCTGATAGTTGCGGGAGATCAGCGTGTGTTGGGGGGAGAGACCGACGACACATCCATTGATTTCCATTCTGCCCCCTTCTTTTTCTTCATCTACTCCTTGTTCTCCTCATCCACCACCACCACCATCACCTCCTCCTCATCCTCCTCCTCCTCCTGCTCCTCCTCAACCACTCGACCCTACGTATCCATCCAAATCACCCGGCCGTCTATGGCTTGCCCTTTTTTGGCAGCACAACCTGAGCCGAGGCAATCATCTCCGCCACACGAATTAGCGCCTTTCTTTGCTTACTTAGTGCAGTTTTAATGTTGTTCTTTTATGCCTTTTATGATTTTTTTCCGAAGACTGAATATTTACGTTTCATTAATGTTTTAGATGGAATGCTAATTTGTCGGTTAAAATCGACGTAAGCACCGATGCTTTCACGAACACAACAATGGCAGCGGCTCTTTCTAGAGCGCATATACCAGGTAGAAATTCCAAAAAGTTGCAATAAACCTAAAAAAATACAATTTAGCTTTGCAATGGTGTCCACCCTGGTATGAGCATCGACAAAGAAGCCGTCAGCCATATTCGCCATCTGGTTGGTGATGTCGTACGCCAGTTATTAGATGGCGGAAGACCCACAACCCTGACGGATCTTGAGAAAACTGTCCACACTCTACTACCACAACTTGCAAATTCAATTATAAAAGTAAGCCTATTTTAAAATGAAATTTTAAAATGTGCCTGGGCCAAGCTAGGACAACAGCCCCTCTCTAGGCACCACCCCTTTAACACAGACATTGTTTCTAGGATGCCACCGAATTCATCAATTCGTGGCCACCAAAAAAGCAACAACGAAATTATAACTCGGCCAACATCAAGACGCTACACGAATTAAATTCAAAGCTGGTGCTCATAATCAAAGTAAGGTCCAGATCCAGCTATAATATAAACAAAATTTAGGAACATCTTGGCCTGAAAGAAAAGGAAAAGAAGGAAAGAGAAAAGGAGGTTTGACTATTGCCTTTTTGAATTAGTTGAGGTTTAGACGGAGCGGATGGCACTATTTCTGGTCAGCCTGTGCGACTTTTTGACGGAGGATATTCTGAAATGGGCTGGGCATTACGTGAAAAATGTTCGAAATGGTGCGATGAACATTAGCCTGCAGAATTTGAAAATTGCGCTGAATGCGGACAAGGTAAGTGAATTATTAATGCTTAAAAAAGGGGAAGACACCTATTTATTTAAATTGGTCATTGTTTTTAGAATTTAATGGAGTTGACCGAAGCTGTACAAAATGGTGATGAGGAATCGGAGGGAATTTCGTTAGCCGGCACAACCTTGTTATTTGATATTGACTGGAATTTGGATGAAGATCGGAAACCGCCACAACGAGTTGATGCAGACTATGGGAAAGTAAGCGGCTCAGAAAATTAGATAGTGCCTTAATTGAATATAATCTTTTCTAGGTTGCCCGAGAATTCCTCCACTATGAAACACAATACCTCAGCAGCCTGTCATTAATTGTAAACGTACTACGAAGAAGATTTGAACCTGTTTGCACCGGCAATTTGGCAGTATCTTACCTTCCACGATCAAAAAAAAATATATTTAGCCATACTTGGACGAAATTTTCGGAAATATCGATGAACTCCACGACCTCAGCCTACAAGTATACCCGCTTAATAAACATTATAGATTCCTTTAGGTTGAACGGTGTCTAGAAGATGCAATTGAAATGTGTGACACCCCATCAGTTGGTTCGACCTTGTGGCCATTAGCTGAAGGCCACGATTTTGATTGTTATGTCGATTTCCTGGTAATTTAAAAGCAAGTACAAACCGTGTTAATTTAGGAGCTGATAACTGGTACTATGCCAGAAGCCGTGACAAAGCTGCTAAAAGAGCCGAGACTACAAACATTCTTACAAGGAGAAGAAAGGACATACAGTGCCCTCCAAAATGGACAAACGTTCCACTTGATTGTTGCTCACGTCCTTCCCTCTTTACTCCAGTTACCTATCGTTCACTTCTATCGTAGCGTCGAATTTTTGAAGGTACTAATCACCAATTGGCTTCTTAGAAATTTTTAGAAACTCTACCCACTCTCCTGCTCTGAAGAAGATCACATTGACCTTCAGAATATCATTGGATATTTCGACCCGCTAGTGGCTAAAATTGATGGCCAATTGACAACTGAACTACGAAGGCTTATCAAATGGTACTTATGTAATCGATGCTATAATTGGATATATTTTAGTGATCGTGAACAGCGACAGCTAAATGATTCTCCGATCTCGCAGCTCGAGCGATTGCAACAACTTCAAAAACGGATAGACGGTTATGAAGGGAAAAATATTGGACAGACGTGTACGGAATTGATTAAGGGTACTGTACATATCATTTTTATTAATTTTATCAATATAGAGGGTAGTCTTCAAATGGTCAGACCAAGTCTTTCGATGCAAACTCCAGAATCCCTACGACGAGGTCGTCACCGTATTCTAACGGACCGTTTCGTATTTGTATTTGATCAATTGGTTGTTATGTGCAAGGTTTGGGTTTAAGAAGAGAAAATCTACTCAAATTCAGCCTCACAAAAATGGGCTAAAATTCAAGGAAAGGATAAATATTCGAAAGACGGAAATGCGGGATGTGGAAGACAGCGAAGGTTTGAATACTTCCTTATTTTTATTCTAGTATTTTTAGAACTAAAAAACGCCTTCCGAATCGAATCTGTTGACAAGACACATAATGTACTACAGGTATCATTAATTTATATTGTTGAATTGCCTTTTTAGGCGTATACATTTGTATGTCGGACAAAATCGGACAAAGATTCCTGGATGACGGCGTTGCTTAATTTGCAAACAAAAAAGGTACTAAATAAATAACCAAAAAATCTGACAAATGATTTAGCATTTTGGATCGATTACTTGACAACTACACGACAGAAGAGAAGAAACGAATCCCGTTAATCATACCAGATGCCGAGCAATACAAGTAGAAATACTAGAAATAATTTTCATTGAGTTTTTAATTCAGATTTGCCGATCCAGATACAGAAGATAACATAATGTTTGAAGATTATACCTCCAGTAGTGGGGTGCCGGTTGTGAAGAAAGGGACGGTAGTGAAGCTTGTCGAGAGGTTGACCTATCACTTGTAAGTTGATTTACTGAGATACCCATAAATTGATCGAATTTCAGATATACGGACAACAATTACGTCAAAACGTTCTTAATATCATTCCGATCTTTCTGTTCTCCAACCGAACTTTTGTCCCTGTTGATGCAGCGGTAAGGAGTAGTCAATTTTCTGGAGCTTTTTTAGATTTGACGTCCCTCAACCAGCCCGACTTACGGCACATTCGAATGAGATGAGGTAGGCAAAACTAAAAATTGCAGATAAATTATAATTTTTAGGCCTGGTGGACCTCTAGCCGGTCGGTATGATACTGTCCAATCTCATGGATTATCTTCTCCACCTCCATATCCTATACATGGTGGTGTATACTCTGAACAATCATTCCAACGATTTCGAAAAGAATATGAGAGACCGATTCAAAGGAGGTGCGCGGACCGTTCCTTGATACTAATCACAGTAAATAAATTTTAGAGTACTTTCCGTGCTCCAACAATGGGTCAAAGTCCACTGGTATGACTTCGACAATGACCCGCAGCTCCTCAAAACCCTCGAGGACTTTTTGAACAAGTCAGTTGTCCAAAGATCTCTTAATTTCGTAATTTTCAGAAGCTGTCACACCCCCGCCAAACTCACAAATCAGCATCGAAAATTTGCCAAAATTATCTTGTCGACGATTGAGAAGCGAAAGTGTGCGAATCTGATGTCGTCAAATGCTGGAAATACTTTGGGAGCGGGTATGTCCAATTTAAATAAATAAAGCTCAGAGTTAATACTATTAAAAATCCTTCCAGGCCATACAAATGGGGCTTTCGAAAATGACGATGGCGTCCCACTACCAGCTTCACCATCGACGCCCAACGTGAATTGTTTTCAGAAGAAGCCGCCAGAGGTAGATACCGTTCTACAGTTCATCCGCAGTTTTCAGATCTTATGGCATACCGCGGGCAAGGGTGACGTACAGAATTATGATCTTCTAACCCTACATCCGGTTGAAATTGCTAGACAAGTGCGTCAACATCGTTTTGAAAATGGATACTTTTCATTTCCAGCTAACAATTCTTCACTTTGATCTTTTCAAAGCCATCAAACCCATCGAAATGGTCGGTTCGGCGTGGATGGAGGCCGATAAAATGCAAAAAAGTCCGCAGCTGCTCAGGCTTGTTCATCACAGCAATGATGTAAGAATTATTCAAAATCTTCGTACCTAATTTTTTATTTTTAGTTGACCTATTGGCTGGCCCGTTCCATTCTGGATACAGATTCTCAGGAAGAAAGGATGGCCTTATTGGCTAGATCATTAGAGGTAGAATTTAGGAACAAACATCACCATAAGGTGTTTTTAGGTGATGTGCGTATTCGAGGAGCTACACAACTTTACGGGTCTTGTGGCATTTTTTTCAGCGCTTAACACAACATATATTTTGAGGTTGACGTATACTTGGGAGGTAGGTTAAGAGTTGTATTCACTATTATTTACATTATTTCCAGAGACTGGAGCAGCACTATCGAAATTGGTTTGACGGTTTCAAGGAATTGTGCGATACTCGATGGCAACAGTTGAAAAAACGATTGCAATCCGTTGACCCTCCATGTATACCATTTACAGGTTCGTATCACCGTAACCTTTTTTTTAATTTTTTATAATATAATCGTCAATATTACAGGCGTTTATATGGACCACATCTTCAAACTTGACACGGCCCATAAAACTGTTTTCAAACCGAAAGTCGAGCCCGCAGAGGTAACTGCCTTTTTATACGCTATAAAAATGTATAATTAGATGGAGGGCGGGCCGATGTCTCCAAATACGGGCAAAGTGCTCGTGTCTTTCATGAAATGCCGAAAGATCGCGGCGCTCATCTCTGAAGTACAAATGTACCAGAATCAACCTTATGCCTTGAACGTCGAGCCGTCTATCCAGGTGAGTAATGGGGGCACTTTCAAGGATTCGGATGATTTCTAGGAAATAGAGAGTTGTTTGTAGATTTGTAGAATGTTAAAAACTCGAGCTAAATTTTAGCCTGTTAAAATGCAAAGTCTAAAAATTGCCTTAAAAACTTAGGTTTTTAAACGGACGACGTTTTTCATTAAGATGATTCTACGATCTAGGCTAAATTATTTAACCCCTACCTAGACGCTACAACAAAATTCGCTACCCAGATTTCCGATTTTTGCCTCTTTTCCTCCAAAATTCTGCGACTCCGATGACGATTTTCTCCTCTTCTCGAATTCTCCCGGCTAGCCCTTTATGAATCAGTGGATATATTTTGTCTACCCCCTCTCCGACAGCAAGATAGAAATCTCCTTCCATCCGCTCTGTCCCCCTTTTCACTGTCATTTATATTCCATTCCGTTTTTTGCTACCTTCAAATACCAAAGCCACCACTACGGCTTCCCCCAGCTCTTTTGCCACCCATTCAACCTTGCCAGCCGCGTATTGGTGACGAATATTTTCACCTGAAACACTAAGGAATTCAGAAACATCTGCTATTTTGTTAAAATGTTAGCGCTTAAGTGAATCACGCAGTTTCTAGTCTAGTTTGGCACTTCCAGAGATCAATTTAGTAATTAGAAATCAGGGAATCAAAGATCTTTCCATAAAACTTCCAAGCATATAGGCTTTTTGTAAGACAGAATTTGCCTCAAGTTGCCGCCCGGACAAAGATCAGACCCGTCTCAGGCGTTTTTCACCTGGAAATTGAGCCGAAGGGGGGCCCTCGGGTTTGTTCCGGCTTTGAGATTGACCACATTCCAATGTGACACATGTGGCCATAGGAACGTTGCGTAGTTGGGGCATGTATCGAAAAGCGGAGAGCGGGTATGAGTGGAATTTACATGGTGTATTACGAACATAACAGCTTCGCGGCGGTTTAGGGCGTCTAGGGCCTCTTAGCAATGCACTTCATTGGCCCTTTAAAGTAACGGACAAGACAACGTACGATGGATTTTGTTGACAATCTTGACTATTCGACCTCGATTCGAAATCTTTAATATTTCAAAATGTAATCCCGAAAGAACTAAATAACAAAAAGTGCTTTTTAGCTTGGGGGGATTTTCTTACCGCTCGCCACCAATTCATAGTTCGGACTAAGCATGCCCCAATCCCCACGTTTTCATGATCTCACCGTTTTGTGGCCAAGCGAAAACATGTAATTTTCACCGAAGATCAACCCTTTATCCAGCCAAAGGCTCCCGACGCATTATTTACCCAGTCAAAAGATGCCCTCCTAAATTACTTCCCACACCCCACTCGCCTCGTGAGTCAATACCAATTTCCGGTGCGGCTTATCTGATCTTTTGCTCTACAACGCCCAACCCGTAGCCTTTCAATTGTAACATTTGATGCCCCGTTCTTGCTCCATTATTTCTGTATACTGTGCTCTCACTTTCACAACAATTCCGCGATAGTTCTATGGACGATGACGACGAGTACAGTGACTTGACGCCGTTGCTGGGAGCTCAGCGGCCAGTTCGGCGTGGAATTTGGCGCGCCAGGGTACGATAAAACAATTAGATTCACGGTAATCTGGGTCTCTCTCGGTAAGATCTAGGGCGAAAAGGTATTAAGGACGGCAGAGAGATGCAGATTCTTCTAGCACGAGGCCCGGTCTTTATAGCCCTTATTTTGGGTTTTAGCCGAGTTCAAGAAAGGTTCTCAACAAATACAGGGTGTCCCAAAAAAAACGAACCATCTGGCATTTCGCCATGTTACATCCAATCGATCCCAAATTTGGACGAGAGGTGTATCAGACCGTAAATAACAACAATCCTGACTTTTAGCCCCGTAGCTACTGTAGTTCTCGAGTTATGGGAAAAACAAACTTTATTTTCTATTTTTCATAGGGTTTTCGTGGAATTAGACCCTCTAAACATTAAGTGAAAATGATCCGGAAGACGTTCTTTACCTTAAGGAATTTTTTCCAGAGTAAAATTTATTAAATAAGCTTCGATTTAAGCGATTTTTACAACGCAAAATTACCCAAGTTCTTAAGCGAAATTAGGGATTCGCAGCCGGAAGTCGATGCAAATCGATGCAAAGTCCAAAAAGATAGCCGAAAAAACCGTTCAGAATTCCGGGAAAAGCAGTATTTTCGTTATAACTCGAGAACGACTGTAGCTACGGGGCTAAAAGTCAGGATTGTTGTTATTTAGGGTCTGATACACCTCTGGTCCAAATTTTGGGCTGATTGGATGTAACACGGCGAAATGCCAGATGGTTCGTTTTTTTGGGCACCCTGTAGATTAACGGAATCCTATAACAAATCTATAAAATAATATTATCATGGAGCCGTCGACTATTGAGCAGTAAATCCTGTGTGTAGTTTTCTCGGGAATTTTTTGCAGCCCACGCCGTGGCCGTAAACAAAAAGGGCATATCACGAAAAAGTTGTTCGCAGCTGGGTAATTTAAGACCTTCCGGCTGTCGGAATTGACTTACTTGCTTGCATTAAGCCAAAGATCTGAGCTTAAATATGATCCGCGAGGGTTTTTAGTACGTCTCAACTTTGCTCTTTGCCAAAAACCCCCATAATTTCCGCCTAATTATCCAAGCTACCGACTAGAGACGAATCTGCTATCTTGCCATTCAACCCATCCCTCCTCCCCCACTCAAACATAGATCACTAGCCTAGATTGGATAGTCCCTCAAGCTTCTTCTCCCTTTTATCAAAGTACCCATTTCCTGTCTCTCCCTCATCCCCTCTCAAAAGAACGAAAAAACCTGTTGGCGGTGCCTGGGGGCCAGCCAGTGAAAAGGCGGGGCTCTGAGGTGGCCTGACTCATTCTCCCTCCCGTTGGGTCCCAAGACAAGGGGCCCACTTGGGTTCTTCGTTCAGTTTCCCCTCCCCCCTTATCCCCCGTTCGCCTTTTTGATAGGTGATGGATGGCGAAGAGCCGGTCCGTCGCTTTCTAGCACTACAATTACCATCTACATCTGCGGAACTGTCATCCGAATTCAATCGGCCAATCCGGCACACCAGGCGATTCTCAGCTGTAGAATTAAATGCCGGTGAGTTGGCGAGAAGATTGATGGAGGGAAGCTGCGACACAAAACAGAAGAGAAGATCATATGAATGTTCTGTATTCGAGATTGTGGATCTTGGGCCGGTTAGTAGAGGGAGTAGCAGTACAAATTCCCTTGGCCCAGCGGCTGTTCACCGGGTGTCTATCCGTCGAAAACGGCCAGGGAGCTCGAGATCATCTCGAAAAAGTGCCAAATCAGCACAGAATGCTTTGGTGCAACCGAAGAAAGGGCATAGATGGTATTCATTTTGCCCGTGCTTCGGAGGGCGTTGTGAGGAACAACCAGAAAAATGTATTCCCACCACGGTCTTAAATCCGATGGAGACGGCGTCGATTCATTCCTACCATTCAACTACTCCAAACGGTTCTCATAACGTATTGAAAGCAGCAAAACGTCGCATATCGGTAGGTGGCCAATTCTCCGAATTTCTGAGTGCTCTGAACCTTGTGACTCGTACAAACATCCAGCCCCGAGATCCTTAATTACCTAGATGACGCAAAGAAGAGGGAGAGGGAGGAGCTCCTAGTACGTATCGCAACTATCCACGTTCTTTTATACTTCATGGTTTATACATCAAAAGTCATGGGGAGGGGTGTTCTTTGCTAGTCACGTAAAGCGAGTGGACCAGGGGTAAAAGGATTTAATTATGCGTGTCGCTGAGTCAGACAGAGGGTTATGTGAGGGCTGCCCAAAACACGCTTGAAGTAACAAGCCAGGAAAAACAAATGATTTGGTGGGTATACTTTTTGGACCTGGTGATTATTCAGTTTATAGATTAAATTTAAGACGTAAGCTTTTGAATTATACGCTAGCCTGAGACTTTGGAGTTTGTTTCATTAACGTTTAGACGGGTTTTCACCCTTTACCACCTCATATAGCTTGGCTGCGTCACAAATTCTAACCTTGCCACTTTAGAATCCACCTTCTTCGTCAGCTTTGACAAGATTTCTTTGCATTTTTCTTCCTTATCCAAGCCGGAAACCCTCCGCGAATCTTAAGCTGAAACTTTCCATTTTATAAAAGATTATACCTTATACTTTATGGTCTTTTTGCAATTAGGTCCACACCAATTCTAAAGCTACTCCTCAGCACGGTCCCCCAACCTTACCCCCCATTCCCAACCATGCCTATTGACGACAAGAGCATTGCGCAAGTTGACACCCCTCTGCCAAAAGGAGACCAGGTGGTCGAAAGGAAGTCCCGGTGTCACCCATCCCTCCTTACATGTTCAAATAAACCTGGGTACCCCCTTGAGACACCTATCAAGGGCCATTGACATCATCCCACGGCTCTAAAGACAGGGTACGAGCATTAATAGAAATTCGAGCGGTCTCCGAGCGATAACTCGGTTCGGAATTTAGTAAAAAACTAAATTTTTCAAATTACTGGTTTTTTCTAGGATTTTCAACCCCCACCACTCCTTAGGACCTCCCTTCCCCGTTGATTTACCATAAACCGAGCGAAGACGAATATTATTGCACTTGATCGCTCCCTCACCACCCTTGTCTCCATAGGATCGACAAGACAACCCATACCGAATGTCTCGTGTCAGCTGACCCTTTTTCCGGCTATCCCCTCAAAGCTTTCCCCCCTAGCCATCTTCAAGTTGTTCTGCTGTGGCCGGCGGGCCCCCAAGATGATCGGGGCCGGAAGTGGGTCCCAAGGGGAGGCAGGGAGGGCCCGGAACGACTCTCCCCTCTCTTACACTGTATTTTCTTCATAAAAATCACATCGGTGTCGAGCCGTCAGGACTGGAGACAGCCAAGGCAGGGGGGGTCAACTTTTTGAAGCAGTCTGGAACTGCAAAAAAAAAGATTGAAGGAATTGAATTGTTAGCGGAGTGGGGAGGGCTCAAAAACGGATTAGAATTTTGGTTTCCGGTGTGAAGAAGGTTCTAATCCGGTTCGTCATGGGAATTTCCAGATTTGTTTTGTGGTTGCTGTGATCTAGTGAATCCAAAATACCAAATTTTCTGAGGGCTCGAAAGTACCATTTGAGCACGATAATATTTGGTGTCTAGTGTATAAAAGCTTATCCAAGTACATCCGGCCGCCTCCTCGTTCCCACTTGAAATGGCCGGAAGCTGGGGGTCTTTTTTCGACATTTCTCGGGCGATTGGCTCCGTTCCCACATCAGCCGGATCAATCAAAGCCTCCTCCTCATTCTCCTGCTCCCCTTTCTTGCCTCTTCATCCCTTCATGGGTACCATTCTGCGCGGATCGCTAAAAATAGCGGGGAGGGTCTGCAGAGGGGGGTGTTACCGGAAATCGTTTGGTTTCGATGAGGTGGTCGGTGTAGTCTTTTGCAAGCTCGGGCAAGGAAAAGCCCAAATTTACGTGTTTTTTTCCGCGGTTATCAGAAAATTACAGTATCTAATCCATAACCTTGAAGGCTTGAAGAAGGCGCTTTGTTTTGATAGCAGGGTTCCAGCGAAAACACGCGGGTCAAAAAGTGCATCGCCAAAAATGAGATCAACAATTTTTTTGACTGAAGAGATCGCAACAATCAACTGCCCAGTTTATGCTATCAATTCCTTAATAACGCCCTCGTTACCGTATCCGGAAAACCAGTCACGAACGATGAAGCGGTTGCCCAAACACGGACACCGGTTGTCAATCTGTGACGCGTCGACGGACGGACGGAAGTGTATGGAGGACAAGACAAACAGACAGACACACACCCACTATAGACATAAAAATTGATGGACAATCAGATAGACAGACAAACATTCACGATAGTCGTCGTCGGCCAGTGGGGGTGTGAGGTGTGTGCCAGCGATCGAGCCGGGGCACGGTTCTGTTTTCCGCCCCCGTCCTACGAAAAACCGACACGGCTCACGGCTCACCCTCTGAAATCTCAGCCTTCTCTCCACTTCTGCATGGCCACGTGCCAGCACTGTTCGCCCTATTATTGCGCGCCTATAAATTAGCCTGCTCTCGCAGGGGCATCATTTCTGGTTTTTTTGAGCCTTGTCTCCCAAGTCCCTTTAAAGTCAAATTTCTACTTCCTCCCTACTATTCATTCTCTCATAACGTCATCTCAACCTCAGATGATTCCCAGCCATTTTTGCTGTGTGGCTCCTCAATCCCCGAAAACCCCGGTGGCTACCGTTCAAGAACCCGTAAGTTTTACCGTCCAAAAGTTGATCCCAAGGTCTTCCCTAAAAACTGCCTGCACCTGCATCCCTACAGTATCTCAACTTCCGGTTCCTTCTCGGTTCGACTGGTTATTTTGTCAGTCCGCCAAAGTACAGCCCATTTCCTGGGCCGTCCATTTTGTTGAAATAGGTGCGGGGGGAAATGGAACGGCGCGGGGTGGGGGAGGGGGAGAGGGATGGGGCGAATTGAAGAAATTGTCGGCTCATAGATTGGCTCATTTCTTGATAATCGTGATGGGGGGATGGCTGATGGGACAACGAGTGGTGGAGGATGGAAAAAAGAAAACGACGATTAGAGACAGACAGTGGGGAGAGGAATAAGAATGTGAGTGTGTTGCTCCATCTCTTTCTCCCCCGCAGCACGATCCCCCCTGTCCCGCACCGGAAGTGAGTGTTCGCGGTGAAACTGTGTGTGTATGTATCTGCAGTCTGTATGTCTATCTGTCGGTCGGCGATCTCCTTCTCTCTTTTGGAGATCCATCGATTCCCCGGCAGCCCCTGGAGGCCTACCGGAAACCTTGATAAATTCGGTATTTTGATCGATTGCTGGATTGGGCGTAGCTATTTTGGATGCCATTACCCCAGTGGCTACAGTCTAGACCCCGTTCTCGATCAAATACTTCACAAACTAGCCAAGCATCTTCGCATTCGTCATTTCAATCGACTCCCCAGATTCCGGCTGCTTCGGCTTCGACGGAAAATAAACCGAAACGGGCTATACCATTGGTAGCTAATACTTTATTTTAAATAACCAGACAATTATGTTATGGTTTTATGCATTTTTGCATCATACAAAAAGTTACTCTAAACTATTGATTAGGGCGCCTTAATTGGAATTAAACGTTGTATTAGATAGCTTTTAAAAATCGTGTCTGAGGCAACCAAATTTTCAATAATTTTTTCAGCAATTCTTCGAATCGATCGCCCCACAAGAAGAATTCAAAGACGAAGATGCCCTCCTCGAATATCTCTATTCTCGAAGCCACAAAATGCAACCCAAAGACGGCCCGAAACCACCAGAAGTGGTAAGCTATCTATAATTTCTGAGCTCAATTTTCTTGTCAATCGGTATGCAATTTTTATATGACTTTTTCAGAAGTCAAAGCATGGTCCACACGTGTTGAAGTCGCCAGGAATCAAGCCACCAAAGGGGCAATCATTATTCGAGAGATCATCCCACCCATAATCTGCCTCCAACCACCCCATCTCCTCTTGATGATGGGTAAGTTGGTACTAAAACACTGAGCGGGTGCATGAGGTCAATTTGACAATTAGCGGTTCCTGGAACCTAGAGTTTGTCGTGTCTATCATGACTCACCACTCTGGCTTTGTGCGCCAAATGAAGCCTACTATCCCCGCTGATTCACCCCGCGTGTTAGGTCGTATTTTAGTTTTCAGTTTCGCCGAAAGATCAGGCAGGTCCCGGGGTTGGATTAGGTGAAGCAACGGGGGGATCTCGGGGGTGTTGGGATGTGTGTTGTGTCCACGATTAGAAAGCAAACCCGACCGGAAACGCACGTAGTCAGAAGCCAAAGGGGTGTTGATATTGACGTTAAAATGTTTTTAAGAGTTATATACTGACACCTGATATTAAATGGATTAGGAAAACCCACTTAAAATGAAATAGGTTTTTGTTGAAATTAGCGTAAATCGCATTCGTTCCCTTTGGGGGCACTATTAGCTCCGTTTTTCTAGAGTTTCCGGTTGGCGCTCCACATGGTTTCCTTTTTACTCTCAAGGTTTTCCTTTAATGAAGCCTCAAACTATTTTCTGAATTCAAATTAGACAAAAGTACTCCTGATACCCCGTAAAGTACCCCCAATATTTCCCGTGTCAGCCTCTTGAGCTCCTTTTTTTCACCCGTACCGTCCATAGCGCAATCCGAAAGCTGAAAAGAAATGATTACCTCACACACCTAGCGATGACCCATGTACCCACAAAAACAAAGCCCGAGGTCATTAGGGGCTTTGTTCGCGACCAGGTGCCAAGATTGACAGTCCATTAGTGGAAATGTGGAGGGAGAGGTGGGACGGGAAGGGAGGGAATGGGCCCTTAGGGTATGCCGACTGGGGTATTGTTCCGTCTTTTTGGAGGTGTGAGGTATGTTAAAATGCGGGTGACATGTTAGAACTTTGGAGAGTAGCTAGTAGAAAAAAGCAAAGCGAGAATGATAGCCAGGCATTAATGCGAGAATATTTGGAATCTAGTCAGCTTTATTTTCTGCTTGATAATAATCAAACTGTTTTAAGGCATATTACGATAATTAAGTACGAAATTAATATTCTCCAAAACCGTACGAAATAAGATATTAGGAAGGAATAAAAACGAATAGAAATAGGCGTATTTTTGAACTTTGGATTGGGAAGTAAGAGCCATTCGAAATTTATGTAGATCATTTTCCCCAAAACAACTATGTAAAGATTTTTGAGGCATATAACGATCCATAAGTACGAAAACCATCATTCCCCACAACCAGACACCAGGTTTAAACCCTTATTTTTGGCACCGGCCCAACCGTCGGATCAGTGACAATCCCCCTCCTCTGCCTCCTATCCCTGTACTTACCATATTGGGCCTAATCCTTTCATTGTCCACCAAAAACGATATATAGCCCAAATCCCCATACCCCCAAGCCTAGCCCATCCCTCATAGTCTATCCCCCCTTACTGCCAAAGAACAAAAGCCCAGAAAATGACAGAGCCCAAATGACAGGGCTCACAGCAGGAGATACAGCCCGTCCTGTCACTCCATCCATTCCGGGACCATCTTTCTAATCTCGTCCAGTCCGCGACGTATTAAGTGGGTGTCCACAGTAAACAAGGCAACAGATTGGTGCCTCTCCCTCTTGGTCCATCCGTTTCGGGATTATCCCCGTCAGCTTTTGCGCGACCTGGTTTTTGTCTAGGTCGGGGTGAGGGAAAGGCCAATACGGATCCTATATATTCCAAAAAAAACTAAAGAAATACAAGTCTTTTCTTGCCTTTAAAAACGTTTCAAAATTATACGATAAATACGCACTAATACCGCGTACTGTGCCCGGAAATCAACCCACCGACCCAGTTCCGGTGAAACGATCCCCTAAAAACTGATAGCAAATGGGCAAGCATCCAATATATCACAACATTTTAGCTCTCGTGCCTCCCCCTCACACAGCGGTATCGCCCGGTCTTCCGGTGAGGACTTTGCCATCATCCATATCACGCCCGGACAACAGCCAAGGCATATTGGTATGTTGATCAGATGAGGAGAATGCCGTTTAATTGGGATTTTAATGGACTGGTGAAGCTAAAATCAACGCGGGGTTAACAACATAGTCTTGTTATTTCGAAGTCGCTTCTAAATGCGAAAAATCTAGCGCGAACGGGTTTTCGCGGCGATTTTTTGGAACCTGGCATCTTTTTATATCACGTGGTACCCAAATGCCCCCAATTTTTTTGGAGACTAGCCAAACGCATATTGGGTGGCTGCTGTTGGAATATCAGGGAGGGCATCTGGGGCACACCGAATAGCGGGAGCCTGGGGGTCGGCAGCGTTTGGAGTGATATCAGTGGGTAGCCTGGGGCATTTCCGATATGATGCCGTTGACAGCCCATCTATCCAACATATGGTGTCCAGGGACTATCGCGTGGGTTGGGGCATGGCCCTGGGTTTTGGTAGGAAGAGGCAAAAAAACAGGTTAGGGTATGAATATATTGGCTTTAAAGGGACCGTGAAGCCAACAAACTAAAGTGAAATGTTTCAGTTATTATTCACAAAAAAACAGAAGAATTTGTTGGCTATGGATTTCTTAAAAAACCCAGCGCTTTGAGTCGAATCTTTTCATAGTGGATTACGATAATTTCTGGAATCTTTCAAATTTCTGAATCCACAGCCAAGAATTTCATAGTCATACCTTACTGGTATCTTTAATCGCTCGCCTTTAATCAAAATTGCAACAGTTATATTGCTCTATCGACACCATCATCTAGCCCGTAAGATGACCTCTCAAACTGTTTTCCAACACACTTTTGAAACACGTCATACCCTTCCGGAAATCAAGGCTAACATCTTCTCCTCCTAATCACTCTCTCATCATCACCCACAAATGTTTATTCGGCATTTGGCGTGTAGTGGACAAGAATCGTTGTCTCTTCCCCTTCTGTCAGTTTTGACTCCGCCCCCTTTCTGTCATACCTCCTCCTCCCCATCCGTTCCTCTCGACTACCCCTTCCTTCCCATTCCATTCCATACCCCCCCTCTCTTGACAATCGTTGTGCTTGACACAATGCTTGCTGTCCGTACCCCACCTACATCACCGCATCCTCATCCTTATATGTTTGTAACGAGAGGTCAGCGATTTTACGGCAAGTCTATACCATGCTTCACGGTCCCTTTAAAAACAGAAAAGCGCTCTTAAATTCAGCAATTTTTAATATTTTACGGATTTTCGTATTTTAGCTGACGTTGCTCGCCGACAACACGCTAACGGTGCGAATTTCCCACTGGGACCCGTTCCGACTGCCAAGAAAAGCGCCGCTCCACCGCCGCTTCATCCGCGCAAACTTCGACCAGGTAATTTTTTTTACTTTAGAGCCCCTTTTTTGCTTAAATATTTATTTTATCAAATGCACAAATTAAAATTTACATCTAGAAGGTGACCTGAAATCTCCGTCCGTGATGGCTCCTCTTTTACGCCAGACCGGTACGGCTTCACCTCCTCACCCACACCGTAGCCCCAGGCTAAATCATCATGCTCAGGTATGAGACTAGCATGTAAAATGCTAAGTGATAATTTTCTAGGCGTTCATCTTCCCCGAACCTACCCCTGCGGCTCCTCAAAGGCTGAAGCCACCGGCACCTCCGCCAGTTCCGGTATGTTTTGGTCCATCGAAAAAATATAGATAACCTGCTTTGTTATAGCTATAATTCCACACTTTACAAAATCCACTTTTCAAGGTTATTGAAAAACAAATGACTTCTTTATAGGCTTCTACCTCGAGTGAACATCGTGTCACCCTCCCAACCACTTCTCCTCGTGGAGGTGACGGTGATTCGGCTTGTGTTTCCGTTTCCCTCCCCCCTCCTCAACTACCTCCAAGACTATCACGACCTGGCTCGTCTTCAACACCTCCGCCAGTCCCTCCGCCACGTCCACCAAAGCCTGGGTAAGTCATTTTACATTCTCACAAACTACAATCCATCCTTCTCCTCCTCATCCCTCATTTTCTGCCCATGTTTTTCATTAAATTCTTCCTGCCTTAACCCCATTGCCCTTTCCATGAATCCATGTGTTGTTGCTATTTTTAGACCGGCTAACCGGAGCTAAGACTCAGTACTGGGGTAGTGATGTGTAGTGGTTGAATTGGTGATCCCTTTTTTCCTCGATCCGGATAGATCTCTTTTCGGGGGGGTGAGGGACAAAGGTGAAACGGACCGTTGGCTGGAAGGGAGACCGGTCAAATTTTGAGAAAGAGGGGATCATGGAACTGTCAGTTCGATTTTGGAACTTTACACAAAATTTGGGATCAGGGGGCTGGATGTCTTATGATAACGGGAAGGGGGTTTTGGTTTTTTGACTTTGAGCTCGAAGTTGTACGTTTACACCTATCAACATTTGCATCCTTCCTTTATCCATCGTAAGTAACTTGCTTTTCAAACACTATTTTTCACGCTCTGACGAAATTTGGAATGTAAAGACATGGCGTAGACAGGTTTTCTGATCTCCAAAGACAATGCCGACTTCCGGTCCCCCTTTACCCAAGAAGGCAAGACCTGGCTGAGAGATATTGATTCGATTAGCACTGTGTTCCTCCCCATCCACCCACCCCCCATCAATTCCTAATTGGGCGACGGGTGACTGGCTGCGAAGAAGAAGGAAGAGACATCGACTTCCGTTTGGCCTCCACAAACCGTTTGCCCGATTTCAGTGCGCGCGCCAAGCGCTCAGCGCCCACGGAACGTGTTGGCGGGATGCTAACGGAAATCAACCAGAGAATGGGGGGTGACTAGCCCTATCATCGCACTTTTTGCCCAAGTGGGAGCGGGAAGCCTAGAGGATCACGAGATAACTTATGATCATCCTGCCACTTTTCCCCTTGTCACATCCACCATTTCGAAAGATGTTTACCGCGCACATCCGGTTCGTGCAGTTTTCTGTTTGTTGGTGAGGGGGAGGGAGGATGCGTGACAGCACGAGACTTTTGGCTTTGTGAGTTTTCTCTGGGTCTTGTGGTTGTTGTTATTTTGGGAAATTTTTGGGTATTTGAGAAGGAATTGTAATGTGTAGATGTGATGTAAAAAGAAATTAGGCGGTTCTTTTTAAACGATTCCAAGATTTTTCAAAGTGAAGCCCAAAATAGGTTGGGTCTTGCTCCCGTTAGCTCTCTAACTCTCTCTCTCGTTCTCTCTCTCTCTCTCTCTCTCTCTCTCTCTGCCGCTCTCTTTCACCTTGTTTCTTTTCCAGCGTCTAATGGTGTTGTCTTGATAAACTAAACAACCTTTGAATAATTTAATATTTTCAGACATCTGAGCACGAGCCCATTGGCCACCCCAAAATCTGCCATCCCGCAGAAGACCCCTCCAGCAGTTGAAGGCCAATCCGAGGGCCCATCCCCTCCTCCACTCCCCCCAAAGACCTACAAAACCCGGCGACAATCGTCCTCGCCGACGAATTAAATGTCCGCCATTGCCTTATGCTTGTTACCCCCATATTTCTCAACTTGAGCACACCTCTCACGACTCGACCCGCTCAATCCTAGCCTTCACGCTCCTTTACGAACCGCTCCCACGAACGCATTTTGTTATTTTTCACGCGGTGTTCAGAACCCCGGGTGCATTTTATATCACATACATACTTACGTTTTAATGTTTTAATGTTAAGCCACCATAGACTTGCCAGTCCCCTTAAAATACCTCTTTACGATGCCAAAACCGTTGCCATCCACTATTTTTAATGTACCGCCAATATAATGGTGAAACAAAGCTTGCCAAATCCGCTCACTCCAACCTCGAAATTATTCCACATATTATTGCTTCATACGTTTCCTGTGATACGGTAGTCGCCTGTTAGTGCTTGTGTTTTTTTTCTTGCTGTATTCACCTCGGCCTAGGCCCGTCACACACATTTCGCTTGCCATCCACCCCCTACATTTACTGACTCTGGAATTAAAGTATTCAACTAGTATACGATGATTTTTTACATTTTATTGTAAACACACCCGTTTATGGTTTGAGGGAAAAGAGGAAACAATCGGATGCATATCGGAGATGGAAATGACACAAATAGTAGGTTATGACAGGGGAAAAGGCCACACGTAACGACGCATCGGGACCCAAATATTTTCTACTTCTCTTGAAAAATAATAATTATGATAGTTAAAAGGATTCGGAAGTTATATCAATGCCTAAAATTAAATAAAGAACTTCCGGTATTTTAGTTAAATATTGTCAATCCATAAATTACGCCTACAACAAACTTAATTTTCGAATCCCGTTCATAAGAACAATTCCTAAAAATTCCTGAGATTGGTACTACAAGTTGCGATCGAATCCAAGAAGTCTACGGTAAGAAGGGGGAACACGCCGCCGACAACTTCAAGAAGGACTAGGGAACAGATCGGAATATGAGGGTGGCAAATCCTCATAGTGTGAAATCGGCTCCTCCTCCCGCAGTGCATCAGCCGGCATTACCAGGATCACTCGGTTTTCGCTGATTTCTGCAAAAAAATACGGTAATGAGGATTTAAGATAAAGTCAAAGTAAGATGGTGTAATTCGTACCTTTCGGCTGATCATCTCGATTGCCACCCCTCCGGCAACAGCGCTCCGTATAAACGCAAAAAATGCCAATGATAGGCGCGATCAGGAATAGGCCGAGTACGGCTGAATACGCCAGATACGTCGGTATCCACATTATGGACGGCTACTGAAAAGGAAATGGGCCTCATTCAGGTCGATTTTACTTTGTGAAAATTATTTAACTAGGTCGGGCGAGGGCAGTAATAAAAGGGAGCCGGGCCTGCCCCATTAAAAAGAAATGTCGTGTTCCAAATACTCAAAACTACTGTAGCTAGGGGGATGAAACTCTTAATATTAATTTTCAGGATACGCGAAACCGAACCTCCGGATAAAATTGCAAGGTTTTCGCTTGGTACACCCTACAGTACTCAAACTTAAACTCATGAATCGGTCAAAAACTTGGTCAAACGCAGGACCAATGAACCCCACGAGAACTACTGCTGCTGCTGCCATAATGATGGACGGCGGCTCAGGTTACGTTTTTGCGTTCGACCCGGTCAGCCGGGGAGCCGGAATTTTTCCGTGCGCGTCGAGGGCAAAAAGACGAGGGTTTTCAGAGATCTGTTGACTTATGGCTTGTCCCATTAAACTTGGGTAAGAGTTTACTTTTCCTTACCCCTTCCCCTAGCCGGAAAGTCCGAAAATGGTATACTTTTTGAAGCACTATCAAAGGCGTCAATAAATTCTATAAAATAGAGAAAATATCTAAAACTAGACTCTGGATTTTTAAAAAGTAGAAATCATACCCCAACACTATTAAAAACCGCTGAACAAAACATTGTGCGGCTACTGGGACAAGTTTTTGATGCCGCCCCCAAAAAGTCGACGGCAGATTCCCTGCTGGGCAGGTGTTCAAATTTGTGGGTCGGTTGAGGGGAGGAGGTTGAGCCACCATCTGACTCCTCGGCCCCCTCCCCCCTACTTTTTCCATCGTATTCAAATTCGAACGGGCCTTGGCTTGGCGTGAGATAGTGGTGTATTTGTCATCGGGGTCGACTCACCTTACAATCGTTTCCTATGGAGATGTGTTTGAGCTTCGGGTGGGTGGGGAGGAGGGGCTGAAAAGGGTCAAGGTATCACACTTTAAGAGAAGTGTTCGGGAAGTGCAATTGAAAGTGCAGATGTCTAGACGAGGGTTGGAACTTTGGCGGGTTTTTTGAAGGAAAAAACGCGAATCAAGAATTTTTTGGCATTGAACGTTCATTTTGACTAAAATTAATTTATCCTAATGCTGGTTAGAATAATTGGTTGTGCAGTTTTATAACCTAAATCGATTATCGGAATTTTCTGCGGTAAAATTTTTACCGCCTAGTCTTCTCTGGGGTTCCAAAACACGGTATTAACAAGTCGCCGGGTAAAAAAGCGGCTTAACCTTATCCGAAAGCGAATTAGAATGCATAACCAGCGTACGACGATTTAAAGGCATAGTGACAGCAACAAAGCAGAAATCTTAAGCATTCCCTGAAGCTCAAAATGACATTTCAGCAAAACCAAAAGACAATTCCCAACCGAAATGACACATTTTGGTACACGCCCTTTATCGAGCCCACCACGTCCAATCTGGGGCTTCACCCTCAACCACCCCCCCCCCCTCCTTTTATTTGAGTGCACTTTAGATGGCCCCCCAGTCTCGGCCTCACCCCACGGCTTTTATTTGTGCCACTTGCCAATAGAAAAGAGCAGAGCAGATGGGTCAGAAAGCCGAAATGGATAAATTATGGACCTGGGAGAGCCGTTGGCCGGCCGAAAAGCGATGGCGGAACGGAATGCACCTCCCAAAAATTTGCCCGTAAATCATTTTTGCGATTTTTGAGCCAACAGCCATTCCCCGAGGGACAGAGATGTTTGAATTCTATGGATTGGAATGAGAATCGAATGGAATTGGAGGAGGCCATCGAGGGGAAGTGGAGAATTCGAAGGCGGGAAATTCGCCCCTGAAGCCGAGGGCTCGCCTCATGGGATCGGCTTACAATCGAACCTCCCACATCCAAACCCCCTCCGACCGATGGCATGGGGAAATGGCTCGAATGCAATGGGAAATGAATCTACGCGTGGTTTCGGGGGAAGTTGAACAGCTTTAAAGGGATCGTGACATAAAAAGTACCGACTTCTAGTAAAATCGAAGAGTACCTTAAAGGTACTGAAAAGTCATTATAAGAATAAGATGTTCAATAAGGGCATAAGATGGCTAGAGCTTAAAAACGGACAGAAACATCCATTGAAAATTCCTTTCGACCATAAGAACAAAGGCTCAAAAATGCAGAAGGTGAAAGCCTGAAGCCGGCGTGAAAAGCCTTCTCCCGGCTTCTCCTGCTCCTTTCCAGCATCCGGGTTCTGGCTAGAGAGGAAGTGTTCTCCCAGAGGGCCTTCCTTCGCCACGGGACCCCCTTTCCTCCTTCCTTTTTTTCTATAAAAGAGTTCGAAGAGAACGAGGTGGTCGGGATGGCCTCCGTTCTCGTTCGTCCCCTCCTCTCCCTGCTTTTCGTGTTCTTTTCTATCTGCTGTCCATTTCCCCCTTCCGGCCCCTCTATTCTGCACTATGCGTCAAAAAGAAGAAGAAGAGGAGGAGGAAAGGGGAGAAGGAACACCAAAGAGAGCCTCAGCTGTTCGTCAACCCCCCGTGGGGTTCTCACTGGCCAGTCTGTTCCACTACGTCTTGACACGTCTGGATGATAAGGAGATAAAAGGTTGAAGTGTAAGAAAAATCTTGGCTAAGAGATTGCTGATACCCGATATTATAGGGAACTTCAAAGGTTTGGATGTGAAATAGAAGAAAGGCTTTTTCACCCGCTGTGTTAGTTAAAATCAACATCAGTGAGTACAGGGTGTCCCAAAAAAGTTTCAGGCGGTGTCTCTTCAGAAGTTCAGAATATAAAAAAAAAAAAAAAAAAAAATAAATAAATAAATTTTTTTTATTTTAAAATTTTAATTTTTTTTTTTATTTTAGTAGTTTCCTATTTTTATGGTTAAGGTATTTATCGCAAGCGCACGAAAGACTGGAAAACAGATAGTTGTAGCTTTAAAATTACATTTTTTAATGCGGCTGAAGAATTCAAGATTTGCACGTTATTTCTGAAGTCACGTGGGATGCTTGTTTTCTTTGTTTGTTTTACATCGAGCGGGAAATAACAAGATATGTAAAAAGAAGAACTCCGGTCGGATAGTCCCTTAGAAGAATTGGGAAGTGACATTTTTTCGCGATATACTACTCATGAACATCCATGAAAAACACGAGGATCTGAGAGATTCTTCACGCTTCAACCTTTGATCCGCCTGCTGACCCCATGCGCTTCACGGCACCAGCAAACCTTTCCGTTTCAGTACTTTCACGAGCAATGATTGCCCTGCTCTTTCAGTTTCGTACCTTGGTTATAATCGAAAGGAAGATAGAGCAGCCCCTGGTTGACTTGCTTGATCAATTAGGCAACAGCATAACCCGACACACGCCGCTCCCCGCTTTTCCCCCTTCTTTGTCTACAAGCTACTACTCCACCGCATGCGTTTTGGTTTTATACTCTTTCTTTCTCTCTCTCTCTCTCTCTCTCTCTCTCTCTCTCTATCTATCGCTCACTCGCTCTCTCACTCTTTTCCGCATACTCTTTCTTTTGGTTTTGACTCTAAATTACTACCTACAATCTTTCACTGTAGCAAGATTTATTAATTACTTCGATGTTTAAGACCTGTCAAATAACAATTTGTTGGATTGTTGGTTATATCCGCACAATTTTCGAATCCTTAATTGGCTCTAACGGCGACGCTTTCCTTAGCATTGGCTGTCTGACGCGTTGGCTACTGTAAGCGGACTCCATCCGGATTTTCAGGTTCCCTCCTTCCTGCAAAAGTAGAGCTTTGCAGCTTTCCAACACATCACAAATTTTACTTTCCCATAGCTCGGGCCATCCGGTCCCTAATCCGAGACGTGGCACCAATAAAAACACCTTATGTCGTTTATCTAATTCCCCCCCCCCCCGAAGCGCTTCAAACCCGCTTCACCTCTTCCCTGTTATTTTCTTAGCATTTGGAAACGCTATCGGAATGAGCATGTTTTTTTCACCAGGCGATGAAAAATGAGGTTTTTTTTGTACTCCCGAAGGCCGAAAAGCTCTCTCTCAGATCGGGTCTTGAAAGTGGCAGCTACACAGATCGACAGACTCGCTAAAATTATTGAAGATGGGATTAATAACTCTTAATCTCACGCTACCTACTTTCCTAAATTTTTCATATATAAGAATGTTTACGCATAGTATAAACAAAAGTATTTTATTTATTTACTTCAAGCTTTGAGGCGCGCTCGCCTTAAAATTTAGACTTCTTCTTAGAACCCGAATTCTCTGTAATGCGTGTCCCAGGGTAAAAGGAAGATTTAATGGTAAAAAGAAAGATGTTCAAACACTAGCAGCGCAATTATTTGTTTCTTTTGCGATATTGAACAGAAACATTTAGAAAATATTTTCATTACCAGCAAGCGCTCTTCTAGTGTTAGGGATCCTTAATTATTGTCGACATATTTTAAACCACATAATTTGATAGTTTTTGGAGGTTTTACGAGGGTTTCCGGGCTAAAATGGTTGGCTATTGGGGCGGGGTGTGGAGGAATGAAAGTTGGGGAGAGCGTTTTCCGACACTTTTGCGGGGACCACCCTTGTTGGCGTTGTTGGTGGTCACCTGGGTGGTCCGCATTTATTCACACATTTGCCCGTTCTGCGGTAGAGCCGATTGCAATTGCCGGAGGTCTTATCTTATATATTTTCTACGGAGCTTAAAATTATTTACAAAGCGAGCATGCACGAAAACTGGGAAATTTATGTACAGCGAAATGATTCTGAAAGCCACGACTACTTTGCACCTATTATTAGCTTTTGGCCAGCTTCTAGACAAGAGAAATTCCGCTGAACCACTGAAAATCCGATCAATTAAAATGAACTAATCTTTGACAGTAGGATAAAGTTAGCCCATCACAGCCAAACTATTCATACAGCGTGGCAACCGCGACACATTTCCACCAAAAAACGGACTACTGCCACGGAGAAACAGTAGACATCGCTGTACTGAGTAAGTACAGTTGGTTGTTCTTCGTTCCGAAATACACCTACAAAAAATAACAATGATGAATCG